GCCGCGCCCCGCTGCAGCAGCTCCTCCCAGCGCCGCGCGCCGAGCCGCTCCAGCTCCCGCAGCTCCTTCTCGTGCCGCCGCTGCAGCTTCACGACGCCCTTCAGCTCCCGCAGTTCCTCCAGGCTGGCGGTCTGCGGCTCTGCGGAGCCGGCGTGAGCGCGCCGCCGCCCCGGTCGCCTTTCCCAGCGCCCGGTCGCCCCCAGGAACCCCAGTCCCGCCCTAAACTCATCTCCAAGATCCCCGGGGCTAAGCAGGCCTTATCCGGGGCTGTTTTCGAGGTCTCCTCCCTGGCCCCGGCTGCTGCAAGAGCCACAGGATGAGCCGACTGGTGCCCTGGGGACTCCTTTGGCTGAGCTCCCCAACCCCTGGGGGGTCGAAGTATCCACCCGTTGCAGTGCATTACCAGCCCTGTGGCTTCAGACACAGCCCTTCCCTCCCAGGTGAAAGTCTGTTTTTTTAGGCGCTGCTGCCAGGCTGGGATGCACCTGTGGGTGCAGACAGCGGTGGAGGCCTCCCAGTGGGTGGGAGGACCTAAAATACGTACCTGCTGCCCCGTTGCTGGTTGGAGCTGCTGCCCCATTGACCTGGCCAGCAACTGAACTCCTGGGTGGGAAGGGCTTCTGTGTAGGGAGAGCAAGGAAGAAGGTGGCTCTAATGGCTGTGCCCTTTCTCCCCGAGCCCAGGACCGTGCCCCTCCCCGTCTTCCCGCAGAGAGGGCAAAGATCCCCTGGGCCCCTGGCAGTGGTCCAGGCAACACAGACCTCAGGCAGACCTCCTCCCATGGCCTCTTTGAGCTTCATAGACTTATCATGGGCGCTGAAGAACTTGATGGGGTTGACAAGGGCCACGGTGAGATCTGGGTGCACAGGGGCATCATGGGCCTGGTATGGAGATGTACCTGGAAGCCTCCTCCTTCCCTCAACCCCTCCGTCCTGCCCCTCTGGAGGCTGGTTTGGGCTTGGGGTTATAGGGTCTCTATGAGTTGGCATTGACTCCACAGCCATGGGTAAGGGGGCCAGCCTGGAGCTCCCAGCATGCCATGGGCCTCTTACCTGCCCAGGTATCAGGTACATAGTCCTTCATCTCCAGGAAGACGAAGAGTGCAGGCATGGTAAGGGGCATATTGCTCTCACTGTGCAGACACAGATGCTGGTATCCTGGTGGACACAATGGGGTGGGGTGAGCCACGGCCCATTCCCACCCAGCACTGCATTTGGGCCTTCTAAGCACTGGGTCTGCACCTTCCTGGCTGTGTAACCTTGGGCAGGTTATTTCCTCTCTGAGACAGTTCCTCCGTCTGTGAAATGAGGGTAACCATGTCTGCCTCACGTGGTTATTGTAGAATTACGTGAGAATGTGTTATAAGCCCTTAGGGCGTTTTAAGTGTCTAAAAATGTCAGCTACTTGGGGAACTGCCCCAGCAATTCCAACAATTGCAGACTTTCCTGCGAGGTGGGCCGAGGCCCCACCTCTGTCCGTTTGCCGGAGAGGCACTGTTCCTGCCCACCCCCCCCCACCGCCATTATGGCCGATAACCTGAGGGGGGTAGGTGAGGTCTGAGGGTGCCCACCATCTGGACAGGCTCCTGATGCCAGCCTTGCTCTCAGACCCCCAGGGAATAGTGAGGGAGGACCCTTCTCACCAGAGTTCAGGGCATGGACGGGGATGATGCGGTGTCCGAGAAACTTGCTGTTTTCTTCCATCACCGTCACCCTGAGGGAGGCCAGCTCAGGCATCATGATCTGGGAAGATTCAAGACAGGGCAGGCTGGGGAAGGGAGAGGGAAGCCGAGCTGCCCCCTCCCTGGCTCCGGAAGTCTAAGATGGGTCAGTATGAGAACACACAGCTTTTGCCCTTTTGCTGAGGACTGACAGAGGGCATACTCTAGGCCATACACATAGACATCCCCACAGCTCATGCCATGGCTGGTCCCCACAGGAAGGAGGGCTGGCTGTGCAGCCCAGGGCTCGGGGCTCTGGGGCAAGCAGTCCTTGGCAGCTTTGCCAACAAGTATCCAATGGGAGCAAAGGCCCCCATGATCCGATGGGCTCAGAGTTCACAATTCTACCTCTACCACATGCCCGCACACACACACACACACACACACACACACACACACACACAAAGCCCGCCCATCAAGCAAACTTCTGTAAATTCAGTTTTCATTTCCTTGAAACTCAGGAGACGTGGGAAAGGAGGAAGCTAACGGAACTCCCTTTATTTATCTCCTCTTTTCCATGAGGAGATGGACCCTGGCCCTGCCCCGCGCTCGCCCCCCACCTTTTCAAAGACAAAAGGCTCCTCTTTCCAGACAGGATTGATGGAGTTGGGACTGGGTGAGAGCTTGGTGCGATAGCGCCTCTTGGGGTCCCCAGGAAGGCCGAAGAGTTCCACTTCCACGTAGGTACGCATGCTGCGCTCGGACAGGAACTGCCCGGAGATCACCTAGGGGTGGAACCTCTGGCAGTCAGCCCCCCACCCCAGGCGCTTCCCCAGGCATGGGGCCTTGGCCTCCTATAACTGAAGCATACACTCTTGGGTCTTGTGCGGAGTCCCAGAGACGGTGTGGCTCAGGGGTTACAGCTAAGCGCTGGCATCCAGGGTGCTTCTTCCAGCGTTGAGGGAAGAGCTGCAGCTTTTCCACCTCCCTCCCCAAGCAAGGAAGGTACAACGCCCTCCCCCAGGGCCTGGGGCTCTGCTGCCCCGCTCTGCCTATTCTCCCTCCCTTCTCCCACACCAGCATCAGCCCTTCCCCTTGGTTTCCATGGGGACAAAGAGGCTGCCTCCAGTGCTGAGGTGGAGACAGTTTCCAAGGCAACCTGCTACTGCACGAGCTGGCAGGGGCTGAAGTTTTCGGAATATCAGGGGAGGGGGCTGGGAGTGGAGGAGAGAGGCGCCTGCATTCTTCTGCTCAAGACCCCAGCCCTCTCGGGGTCTTGTTCAGCCCCTGGGTCTTGCCGTAATCGACAGGGTGGTGGCAACCACCACGTCCAAGCGGTCCACTGAAAAGGGGTTGAACTGCTTGTCCGGCAGGCGCATGAACTCATGTTTGAGGAGGTAGCCGCTTTGCCCGTTGAACTCAAACAACGCCATATTCTGCTGCATGGGCAGGTCTGGGGGGACAAGGGCACTTGGTGAGGAGGGCCTGGCCCAGGGTCTGCACCCAGCCTCTACTCCCTGCGTTTCCCAGCCTTCCCTGTCTTGTGAATGGGGCGGTTGGGTGGACAGTGAGAAGTGAGGGTTTCCCATGTCCCAGCCGGATCTTTACGGTGTCTCATCACCCAGGACAGGCCCACAGCCCGGAGTCAGCCAAGAGCAAAGCCACAACCTGACGGCAAGGTCACAGCAGGGGCTGAGACAGGTAGCGCAGGTGATCCTACAGACACACTCAGGCAGGTTGGCCAGACACATGCCAGCACCTCAGTGTCTTTGCAGACATACTCACATATGTACAATCCCGTAGGCATGAGCTAATGCATTTGTCCCCCACAACACTCACACCTGGGTGTGTTCCCAGAGCCTTAAACGTCAGGACACCCCAGTCTATCTTAAAGACTTTCCCAGGGATGGGGTGAAGGTGGGAGCAGGGCAGAGGCCAGGGGAGGGCTCTCAGGGGCCTCGAGTGCCCTCACCCATTGTCTGGAAGTTGAGGGCGACCATCTGGCAACCGACGTTCCAGAACATCTGGGGCATGTAGTTGGAGGAGTCCACACGGGTGCCCTTGGGGTAAATGCGGCTCATCTGGCGCTTGTTGTAGCTGCACCTGAGTTTAGGAGCCTGGCCCCAGGACGCCTGCACTGGAAGGACCCAACAGCCCACCCTGGGAGCCCTGTCCCCAGGTCCTCCCCAGCCCCCTGCCCTAACCAGGATCCCTGGCTATGGAAGCCGAAAGGATACTCCACAAATTGCACTGCAGCCTTGGAGAGCAGGTCATAAGCCTTGAGCTCGGTGAAGGAGGAGATGACGTAACTGCGATTCTTCTCTGAGTAGGAGAGGAGCAGGCCGTCCACATCAGTCCCTTCCCTCCCTCAGCCCTGCTCTGCCCTTTGGGGCAGCTCCCTGCAGCCTAGAGATGCCTTCCACCCAACATTCCCACCGAGGCTTGGGAGTTTATGGAGCCTGACCCCTCGGGGGAATGTACGAATCTGTGTGGGCAGCAGTGTGTGCCCTGGGTAAAGAGCGTTCACGGTGGGTATGTACAGGGGTGGGGTGCGTGCCACAGTCCTAGCAAATAAGGGGTGTATGCCGCGGTCCTAGAGAACGAGGGGCACGTGCCACGGTCCCAGAGAACGAGGGGTGTGTGCCACCGTCCCAGAGAATGACGGGTGTGTGCCACAGTCCTAGAGAATGGGGGCATGGGAAATGTGCTGAGGATGTGCCCAGGGGTCAGGATGTGCCCGGGGTTCAGGATGTGCCCAGAGGTCAGGACATGCCCGGGGGTCAGGACGTTAGGACGTGCCCAGGGGTCAGGATGTGCCCAGGGGTCAGGATGTGAGGACGTGCCCAGGGGTCAGGATGTGCCCAGGGCGTCAGGACATGCCCGGGGGTTCAGGACGTGCCCAGGGGGTCAAGATGTGCCCGGGGGTCAGGTATATACTGTGGACATGCACAGTGTGAGCACATGCTGTGATGTGCACAGGAGTGAAGCAGGCAAGCTATGGCTGAACATATGGGGTGAGGGGTATACACCAAGTATAGTAGTATGCTCGGTGGGTGTGGGCTGAGGGTGCAGAGATGAGAGGGCGCTGGTGTAGTGCTCCAACTGTGCACTTGTGTATACAGAAAGGTGCACGTGTCGGGAACACATCCAGGGAACGAGAGGAATGCGCTGTGCGTGTGTCCCGAGAAGATCAGGGTAAATAGTATGAGTGTGCACAAGGGGTGAAGGGTACAAGAGGACAGATGTGCCTGGCTGGTTTCTCTGCCTTCTACCCCCTCCCAGAAGTCTCATCCCTTGGGACTAAGGCTTCTAGACTTGGGCCAGCCCAGGGCACACTTCAGCCTGGGGATGGCTGAGTCCTGCAGCCACAGAACCCGCAGGAGGCTGCAGGAGTCCAGGCTAGCCCGGCTGAGGTGGCCTGTCATAAACGGCCTGCCTGTCACCGACACACTCCAGAGCACTGCAGTCTGTGCCAAGTTCCTCAGCACAGTGCTGGGACAGTGGGAGCCACTGCCACTTAAACAAGCCCTTGGCCTGACTCCTCTGCTGGGTATTTATAGATGGGCCCTGAGCCCAAGGAAGGGGGAGAGCCGTCCTTCCTCTCATCCCCACCCATCAGGCTGCTCCTGGTCTCAGGACAAGCTTCTGGACACCCTCTGAATCTGCCTGATCTCCAGCTCCCTAGCACCACCACAACCACCACCCCACAGTAACTTACGGGAAGCGAACTCAAAGGAGATGAACTTGGTAGGCTGGATGTAATTGACTAGGCTGGACATCTCCTCGTAAGCTGTCACTTCCAGGCCTGCTGTGCCCTGGTGGGGACAGAGGAGGGTGGGAAGAGAAGAGGAGCCCAGCCCCACATCCCCACCTCCCCCCACTCTACCCCAGAGGCCTCCATAGTGGAGGACAGGGTAGGGCCTCGGAGCTCTCCCCACACACCTCATCCGACTGCATCTTCTTTATCTCTTCTTCATCCAGGCTTCCCGACTCCTCCTCCTCTTCCTCTCCCACCTCTTCGTCCTCCAGCTCAGCCCCTTCCTCACCAGTCCACACTGTCACACACAGCTCAGTCAGCTTTGGGGGCTGGCTGGGACCCCCACATCAACTCTGCTCCCTGGCATGTCTCCTCCAGGCCTAGCCCCTCTCCTGTTCCAGACCCCCCCACCCCCGTTCCTTTCAGGCTGACTCACCTGTGTCCTTGCTGCCCAAGGAGACTTTGGGTGGGCAGCTGCCCTCAGCTTCCCCAGGCTCCTTGCTGGGGCATATTGGGCCAGAAAACTGGTTCTTCTTGTTCTTGATGAGGATTTTGCCCCGGAGGTCCTCGGGGCTGGGCAGGGGGGTGCCTGGTTTTAGCTGTGGGAAGGGAGAGAGAGTCAGCACCTTCTCCTCACCTCCAAGGTAGAGCCTGAACTCCTTCACATCAAGCCTGCTCCACTGGCCCCCTGTCTGCTTCTCTACGCTCATCACTCATCACTCCTTCCTCGGATACTAAACTCCTGCCTGACTGAACTTAACCCAGTTTCTCAAGAAATGATGTTCTCTCTCACCTATAGATGCCATTCCATCTGTCCAGAGTACTGCCTCCCCATGCTCACCTAAATAAATTCAATTTATCCTTCGGGTTTCAGTTTAGCCATCACTTCCTCCAGAAAGCCTTCCCTGAGCCCCTAAAAGCAGGTTGGGACTCCCCAAGTACTCCCATAGCAATCACTAGGTTGTAGTAGCCTGGTTTCTTGTCTGTCTTCCCACCAGAGGGTAAGCAACATGAGGACAGGGACTGTGTCACTAACGTGCCTCCAAACCCAGCACAGTACCCGACACATGGTAGATGGCAGGAGCGCAGCCCCCTACCCTCCCAAAGGAAGGCCAGCATCCCCTGGGCACACCCCCCTCTATAACCTGGTGTCCACACTGCCCCAGGTTCCCAGGCCCAAGTGCCCCACAAAGAAGTCCCCTCCACTCACCGGAAACTTTTCTAGGGGCTCAGTTAGCAGCGTGTCCCCAAACATTGTCCGGCAGTACTCGGCCATCTTAGCCTGTTGGCGGGGTCTGCAGAGAGTGGGAGGTGGGGTTCAACATCTCAGCCCCAATCCTTGTCCATCCTTTGTGCCCTTAATGACCTAGATCAGGGGCTCAAGAGGTCAGGGAGGCAGGGACACAGGCCAGAGTCCCAAGGAGTTCCAAGGAGATTATGTTGAGACCTGGGAGAGAGCTGGAGGGGATGACCAGAAGCTGGGAACAGTTCGGGGGAGGACAGGTACAGGCAGAAGGCTGGGGACAGGGTGGAGAACAAGGCTGAATGGCTCTGAATACATACGAGTCAACGTGGTTTTCAAATGACAGGATGACGGGATAGGGCGAGGTCTTAAATGCACTTTCTGCAATGGCTTCTATAGCTTCCTGGAGGAGAAGGGACTCCATGCAGACGAGGTCAGTTGTCCCGGCTTCTCTCCCCCACAGCACCTTTCCCCCTCCTCAGCTTTAACACACACATAACTGGATGGCCACTGTTGGCCCCGAGCCCCTCTGGTCCCTTTGTAGTCCCCACACTAGTTCAAGGCTTCCAGTCTTTCCTCTCCCCTAGCCTCCCTCTGCTGCCCCAAAAAGCTTCTGGCCCAGGGCCCTTCCAAGTGCCATCCCCACCAACCCCCTCCACACGCCAAGTCTCACCTTGAAGAAGATGTCTGTGGTCATGGTGAAGCCATGGGTGATAATGGGCTCCTCATCCGGGGGCTTCCCCTTCCAGCAGTCTAGTTCCACACAGCGGCAGCCAGACAGCAGGACCTGGCGGTACATCTCAGCCGAGGAAAGGCCTGAGAACTGGCTGCCTGCGCCAGAGGAAGGAGCAGTGGCATCACTCAAAGGCAGCCCAGATTTCCCCTACCCCATGCCATCCCAGTCTATCCTGTTAGCAGGGTCAGCAGCATGCAGGCAACCCCTGCTGAGGATTCAGGAAAGGGGAGTAGCCCCCACAAAAGGAGAGATCAGCAGTGAGGTTGCCAGGGCCTACCTGTCAGGTATGTGTTGTGTGAGGAGTTGATGAAGTAATGATTGAGTGGCTGTGTCATGTCTTGGTGAAGCAGCAGCTTGTCCTGGGCCAGCACGCTGTTCTCTGGCCCACAGAGAAACCAGACCATGCCCTCAGGTGACAGCTGACCTAGAGGACAGGGTGTATGTCAGCCTGTGGCCCAGCTGTCAGGGCAGAACAGGACTGTGGTGGGTAAGGGATTCCCTTAGTCCTCACCCCTCTGCACATTGATGCCACTGGGCTCATACTTGTCAATGAGGCCCTGCACCTGGTCAGGCTGTGCTGGTGGGAACAGCAGGGAGTTGAGCCGTGGGTCCCGCTGTTTCTGGTTGATGAATTTGGTCAGGTGCTCCTTGGTCATGTAGGGTTTGGCCTTGGCATGGCTGCAGACCACAGGGAGGAGCACAGGTCTGTATTCACTGGGCCTAGGGGCTCAAGGTCCTTCTCCAGTGGAGGCTCCTGGTTCCCAGCATGGCAGATGGGAAGACGAGATTGCTAGCCACCACCCCTTCCCCATGCCAATCCCAGCCCAAGAAGCTCACTAGGAAGTGAAGATCTCATCTATTTCTGGCCGAGGGCAGAGACTCATGAGAAAACTCTTGTAGACAGATTCTGGGAAGTCCTCAGGATTAATGGCGTCATTCTGGGGAATAAAAAGGTATCTTATCATCCCTACCTTCAATCTCCTCCGAGTTAAAAGCCACAAACCAGGCTCAGCCCTGGGCGAGGGGGCCTGGTCAGACGGACGGCTCAGGGCAGACAGAGGAGGAAAAGAACACCCTGAGTACCCACTTTTCAAAGCCCTGACTGCTGAGCAAAGAGCATGCTTAGCTGGTTTGCTTTGCTTCTGAATTTGGACAATAGCTAGTCTTTGGGTAGGGGCAGGATTGGAACTATGAATGACCAGAACAAAGAGAAAAGGATGTTAGAATTAAGTGGTGCTGCTTGCCAGGGCGGTGGCTTTTTTTTTTTTTTTTTAAGTGGAGGACAAATTATCAAAAAGAAACTATTTGAATGTAACCATATACGCACCTAACAACAGAACCCCAAAATACATGAAGCAAAAACTTACAAAATTGAAGGGCAAAATAGACAATCCGACAATAATAGTTGGAGACTTCAATACCTCACTTTCGATAATGGATAGACCAACTTGGCAGAAAATAGCAAGGAAATAGAGGACTTGAACAACACTATAAACTAAGCCTAACAGACATCTATGGAACACTCCATGCAATAACAGCAGAATACACATTCTTCTCAAGTGCACATGGAACATTCTCCAAGATAGACCATATGTTAAGCCACAAAACAAATCTCAAGAAATTTAAAAGACAGAAATAATACAAAGTAAGTTCTCTGGCCATGATGGAAGGAAATTAGACATCAATACCAGAAGGAAATTTGAGAAATTCACAATTATGTGGAAATCAAATAATGGGTCAAAGAAGAAATCACAAGGGAAATTAGAAAATATTTTGCAGTAATGGCAATTCATTTCATTGAAATGAATGACAAGCACAACATACCAAAACTTATGGGATTCAGCTAAAGCAGTACTTAGAGGGAAACTTATAGCTGTGAATGCCTATGTTAAAAAAGAAGATCTTGAATCAATAACCTAAACTTCTACCTTAAGAAACTAGAAAAAGAAGAGCAAACTAAACCGAAAGCAAGCAGAAGGAAAAAAAATAATAAAGACTAGAGCAGAAATAATTAAAATAGAGACTAGAAAAGCAACAGAGAAAATCAATGAAATCAAAAGGTGATCTTTTGAAAATATGAACAAAATTGACAAACTTTTAGCTAGACTGACTAAGAAAAAAAGAGAGTGGTCTCAAATTAATAAAATCAGAAATAAAAGAGGGGACATTATTATCAGCCTTATAGAAATTGAAAGGATTATTATAAGGGAATACTATGAATAATTGTATGCCAACAAATTAGATAACCTAGAAGAAATGGACAAATTTCTAGAAAAGACACAGGCTACTGAAACTAACTCAAGAAGAAGTAGAAAATCTAAATAGACCTTTAACAAGTAAAGAGGTTGAATTAGCAATTGAAAAACTTCCCACAAATAAAAGCCCAGGTCCAAATGGCTTCACTTCAGTTAAACCGAACATTTAAGGAAAAATTAGCACCAATCCTTCACAAACCCTTCAAAAAAGAAAGAGAAGGGAACACTTCCCAACTCATTCTATAAGACCAGTATTACCCTCATACCAAGACCACACAGCAACATCATAAAAGAAAACTACTGATGAATATCCCTTATGAATATAGACACAAAAATTCTAAACAAACACAAGCAAATGGAATGCAAAAATATATAACAAGGATTATACACTATGAGCAAGTGGAATTTACCTCAGGAATTCAAGGTTGGTTCAACATACAAAAATCAATCAATGTAATACACCATATTAATAGATATCTGCAAATCAGATATCTAATAAGGGAGTTGTATCTAGAATACATAAAGAACCCTCACAACTCAACAATAAGAAAACAAATAACCCAACTTAAAAACGGGCAAAGGACTTGAATAGACATTTCTCCAAAGAAAATATACAAATAAGCACATGAAAAGATTCTTAACATCATTAGTCATCACCAAAAAAAAAAACCGAAGTCATTGCCATTGAGTCGACCCTATACAACAGAGTAGAACTGCCCCATAGGGTTTCCAAGGAGTGCCTGGTGGATTCAAACTGCTGACATTTTGGTTAGCAGCCATAGCACTTAACCACTGCACCACCAGGGTTTCCATCATTAGTCATTAGGGGAATGCAAATCAAAACCAGAGTGAGACATCACTTCACACCCACTACCCACTAGGATAGCTAAAGTAAAAAACAAAGACAGAGAATAACAAGTGTTAGCAAAGATGTGGAGAAATTGGAACCCTCGCACATTACTGATGGGATTTTACATTACTGTGACATGATGTAATCACTTCAGAGAACAGGTTGGCCATTCCTTAAAATGTTAAATACAGAGTTACCATAAGACCCAACAATTCCATCCCTAGGTATAAACCCAAGAGAAATGAAAACATATGTCTACACGAATGTACAGAACAGCATTATTTATAAAAGCCAAAAAGTGGAGACAACACCAGAGTCCATCAACTGATGAATAAATAAAATGTGGTATATCCATTCGAAGGCGTATTATTTGGCGATACAAATGAATGAAGTACTGATACATGCTACACCATGAATGAACCTTGACGCATCATACTAGGCAACAGAAGCCAGACACCAAAGACTACATACGTGTGATTCCATTTACAGGAAATGTCCAGAATAGACAAATCTTTAGAAATAGAAACAGAAAATAGATCAGGAGCATTCAGGGATGTTGCGCCAGAAAAACATGGCTCTAAGCAGGAGAGACTGAGTGGATTTTCCTAAGCCCCTCCCTGCCTCTGGAGCTACAGCTCCAAGCAGAGATGGGTCTGTGGCCTCAACTGGGTTATAAGCTGGGAGCTCAGGAGGGCGGAAAAGGAGGGCAGGTGTGTATTGGCTGCAGGCAGGTGGTGCTGGCTATAGGGACCTCAGCAGGAGTCCATTCCCACCCTCTTCCTCACCCCTTGCTTAGACCCCCAGCAACTGACTCCATACCAAAGGGTCATCAGCTCCACAGAACTGTGACTGTGGGGAAGTCTTCTTTCTGGGATTCGTGTGGACAGGTGATCAATGGGGTCCTAGTTTTATTTATTTATAATCTTCCGAATTCTTACCCAGAGAAAACATTCAGTGGGGAGCAGGTTGTGCCCTACACAAGACACTGTCTAAGGGAGAGAAGGGCATGAGACCCACTCCACCGCCAAGCATGGCCCCTGGCTCAAGGCCACACTTGTCCAGAGGCTCCTTTTTGTAATTTGCATAAGGCAACTTATGTATCGTTGTAATTAAAAATGAACTACCTAATTAAAAAGTAAGGAAAAAATGTTTCATGTGCTGAACTGGCAGCCTCCACCCTGGGTTCTGCTCTTTGTCTGTTAAGGGTTGCTGTTGAGTCGATTCTGACTCATTGCGACCCCCTTGTGTTACAGAGTAAAACTGCTCTATAGGGTTTTCTTGGCTATAATCTTAACGGAAAGGAGCCTTGGTGGCACAACAGTTAAGCACTTGGCTGCTAACTGAAAGGTCCTCAGTATGAACCTACCCAGCAGCTCCATGGGAGAAAGACCTGATGGGCCCTGTAGAACCAGTCCCTTGCTACAGCATTTTTCAGATCCCTGCAGACTGTCTCCTGTTCCTGCTGAGCCTTGTCTAGCTCCTCCCAGCAAAAAACATTCACTCTCTCCAATCCTGAAGCTACTACTTGCCCTGAACACATTCTACCAACCCCAACCCTTGCCACCCAGCGAGGTGTGGTGCAGACCAACCTGCTCAGAACCTGGCATCTCTGGTTCCACCTCTGTGCCTAGCGTCAGTAACAAGTGGCTCTAGATTAATTAGCTTTTGGGTCTGTGGACTGGGACTGTGATGTCATTTTTGCCCTCCGCAAGTTGCTCTCTGGCCAGAGCCAGCTCAGGGGGGAATGAGAATACCGGAGGCGGGCCAGGGAAGGGAACTTCTCACCTTGCCTTTGGGGAGGTGGCAGGCGCTGAGGGCTGATTCCACCCGCTTCCGGTCAGCAGGAAACAGCTGGAAAAAACTGAGGGAGCAGAGAAAGGCACCAGGCAGAGACAGGGGTCAGGCCTGGAGAAAGAAAGGTTTGAGGAACTGGGTTGTAAGTGTGGAGAGGGAGTTGGGGAGGCTCACTTCTTCACAGGAATCTTCCCTTCGGGGTTGAGCTGCATCTTGAGCTTCACCAGGCTGGTGGGGCAGAAAGCAGCCTGTCAAAGCCCTGGGGTTGGCATGCTCAGCCCTGAGGGCAAAGGCCAGGCAGACAGACACTTACATCTTGTCCAGGAAGGTGCTGCGGGGGGCGTTGGTCATCAGCGGGTGCTTGACCAAGGCCAGTACATCCTCGGCCCAGTCCTGCAGGGTCACAGAGCACAGTGATCAGGCCTCTGATCGCACAGGTGCCCCTCTGCCCCCTGTAGCCCAGGCCTGTATCCATCCCAGGTGCCAGGCCCCAGGCCAGGTGCTCCCAGGTACACCTTGCCCACGTTCTCCTTGTAGGAGACGAAGTTGTGGAAGGTGAGGTCCACCATGTCGGGGCCGGACACCACAGTGAGTGTCTTCAGCAGGAAGTTGTTGTCAGGAAAGTCCATGTTGAAGACATCTCGGAGCTTCTGGCTCTGTAGGAGCGGGCAACACAGTTATGGGGGTGTGCTGCCCCCCCTTCCCCTCCACCCCAGCCCGTCCCCATCTTGGGAACCACAGGCTTCAGCATCTTCCCATCCTTGATTCCAGGGCTGGGCTAAGGAGGGAGAGGCCCACAGGAGGCGGTGGGCACTGGGAGTCCTGTGTATTTTGTTTGCCAGTTTATGTTAGAAGGGCGGACTCAGCTCCCAGTCTCAGGGAATCCTGCTTCCCGCCAATCTCTTTCTCCAATTTTCCTACCAACTCCAGGCAAATACAGGCAAACCAGCTGGGGTGGGGGAGGTGAGCAGGACCAGTCACACTCTGCAATGCTCCAAGGACAGAGTCTGGGCCCTTCTCCTAGAGTCTCAGAATCTCAGCTCACCGGGCCCCAGTTCCGAAGCTCAGAGCCCAGGCATGCCCAGGAGCAGCCACAGCCCTTCCTTGGTTCGGGGCTGCTCCCCAGACCAGGAGCCCTTCCCTTTGCTCCAGAGGTCAGGCATTCCACCCCTGCAGGGACTCCTGCCCTTCCCCAAGGAGCTGGCAGAGGCGTGTGGAGCCACCCTGAGCCTGGGCTGCTACTGGGCCCACCTACCTTGGGTATCTTGGCAAACTTCCCAAAGCGGGTGTCCCGGATGCTGGTGATATCCAGAAACTCCATCTCCTGGAGGGGGTCCCCGGTGGGAGCAAAGAAGGGGTGTGGGGAAGAAAGATCAGGTCAAGAAAGAAGAACAGGGAGGAGGAGCTTCCACGCACCCTCAAAACTGCCCTCTCTGGATGCCAAGACAGCATGAGGCTTCCCAGACCCCAACTCTTCCTGCCCACCTATCAGGTTCTCCCTACTCATGGCAACCCTCCTCCCCTCCTCTCTTCCCATTCTTTCCCTGGCCGCTGGCGTTCTGGGGCTGTGGCCTGCAGTGTCTCCCCTACCATCTTGGACTCTTCCCAGGTTCCCCTTCCCTCCTTCTGCCTGGCTGCGGAGGCCTTTCTCTGATCTCTCAGGGCTCTCAAGTTTACCCAAAACAACAGCAGAGAATCACCCTTCAGCAGCAGCCCTTTCTCTCTCTCCAGCGGGTGCTGAGGCTGGAGCAGCTGGACCCCAGGCAGCCATGGGTTGGAGTGACTGCAGTATCCCTCCCAGTCATGGGGCCTAATGTCAGAACAAATGGCCCCCGCCCACAGGAGAGCCCAGAGCCACCCTTCCATGTCATTCTATACGCCCCACCCCTGTCTCCACCCGCATATAGTCAAGATGCCACCTTGACTCATTAGATAAGCAGGAGTGTCCAGAGACCCAGGGCCTGGTAGGCAGGGGCTGCCTCACCTTACTCTGATATGTCCAGTATAAGTAATAGCCCTTGGGATCCACTCGGAGGATAACCGGGGAGGCTACTGTAGTTTCCTGCAGAGAGAAAGAGTTAGCTGTCGCTCTGTGACCTCAGGCCAAGCTTCCCTGGCCCAGGCTGAGTCAGGTAGTATTTTCAGGTCTCACATCCCCCTAGGAGGTGCCTGCCCTGGAAATCTGAAGGCACTCCCCGTTGTCCTCCAGAGCTAAGGACTGGGCATGAGCTTTGAAAGTTCTGAACCCGGAGCGGGCAGGGGTAGAGGGTTGGAGATGGCATTTCTGGAAGAGGTTTCCCCTCTAAACCCCAAATAAAGATTCCCCCTCTAGGCCCCAAACAGCATCTTGCCTCCACCTCAGCCTGTTTTCAAGGGCTACTGCTTGTCCAAAGGGGTAGAATGCTTCTCTCTAAGACACGCTGCTACCACCCAGGAGAGCTCAACACAGTGAGAGCCAGGATCCCAAACGCCTATGGCTGCATCCAAGGCCCCACACAATCCAGCCACAGCCTAACTTCCTGCGTGCCTGTCCTCCCTTCCATGAACTTCCCCCACTTCATCCTCCAGACACCAAGTGCATTCTCACCCCAAGCCTAAGCATCCAATCCTCCCCTGCCTGAAACCCCCTTCAAAGACCAGTCCAAGCCGCGCTTCTTCTGAAAGACCTCTGCAATGTGCCATAACAGCTGGGCTGGGGCCTGGCTCACAGACCCTAGAAGCCCATCCGGGAACTCCTCAGGGACCCATGGACTCCAGAGTAAGAAGCCTGTGCTAGATCGTGACTTTGGTGTTCCGTTTTTGCTGGATGAGAGAATGAATAAGTGAATGAGCGCTCCCACATTCCTGTTCCACTCACAGAGCACATATGCTGCCTTTTATTTTAATGGTCTTGCAGGTATAAATAACAAGGTATTAAAATTGAGGTTTCCTGGAAGGCAACGAGACATAATCGTAGCTGCACACCAATCAGACCAAATGCAGAACTGACAAAGAACATGGTCAACAGCAGGTTCTCAATCAGAGTATGGAGGGCAGAGAACATTCTGGGAGGAGGCTAATTTTGGAGAAAGCTATGTTCTAAGCGCCAACCTCTCCCTTTTTAAGGGAGGGTTAGAGTGCCTGACCCCTCACCTCCAGCCTAGTAAGAGGTTTCAACTGTACTTAGCGAGCTTGTACCACCTCTGCAGTTGTGGGGCGAAGCAGACTGGAGTCTGACTCCTGCCCACAAAACAGAGTGGGCGGCCAACAGGCTCACTCTGTTCGAGGTAGAGCCAGAGAGAAACTAGTGCGTTGGATGAGCTTGCAGCCCCCAATGTGTTGGGGCAACGGATGCATGAATCTTTCCTGGGGACCAGAGTGGGCCCCTGGGACAGAGAGCTGGCTTGGGCTCCTAGAGGGGAAAGGGTTCAAAGCCACAGGAAGCTAAAGAAATAGGTGTGAGTGATCACTTGAGATAGAGTTGTCAAGAGGACCTCAAGAAAAGCATCCCTAGCTCAGAGAAGAGGGTCTTCAAGAACATCGACCTGAGAAAAAAGAAGCGATAACCTCTACCTGGCTCAGAGAACACGAGCCAGTCACAGATCCCTTCTAGAAGGCGTGCAGCCCATCTGAAACCATTCCTAGAGGGAGGAGGGGAGAAGATGTTATTCTAAATTAAAGTTGGAGTTGTGATTATAACTAGTCACTGAAATAAGACTGGATTTTCTAACAAAAAGTGGCCATGGAACTGTCTATTATCCAAGAGTAAATGGAACAACTTGTAGCTTGTTGAGTTTTCTTCCAGGGGCAGGGGGACATCTTCTCCCACCAAATATGTTTTAAAGGGGCAGTGGAAGACAAGATAAAGTTGAGGTTTGATTACATCCTATGCATTGTGCTTATTCAACATGGTGCTACAGACCATGTCATCTGCTAAGGCTAACTGGGCCCAAGACACAAGCAGAGACCTGTCTCACAGGTGCGTGTCCCCAGTGACTAGGTGTGGGAGATGCCGCTCGTGGAAGTTAGGATCCAGGGAACCCGTAGGGCCCTGCCTTGGGGAAGCCGGGAGGCAGCCAGGTACACAGGTGCTGCTGGCTTGGGGCAAGGCCGTGTAGCTTGTCCCACCTCTGCCCAGTTGAGCTACACGCACGGCCCAGAGGAACCGAGAGAGACGGACTTCACTTTTTATTCTGAGCCACTTCCCTCACCCCACTCTTTCCTGGGACATGCCATCACCATTCTCCCACCACGCCACCTCCACCACACCACACCCAGGAGAGCAGGCAGGGTCTCACCACAGGGTCCTTCCCTGTAGTCATGGCAATCAGATGCCTAGCCTAGCCCAGTCCTGAAGAGCCTGGAGCCCCAGCCTTCCTTAACTTACAGATCCAGAGTTTCCTGATCCCATCCTATAAGGTGGAGAAGGACCCCTTTCCCCTCCCCCAAGGAGACTTCATTTTCTCTTCCTGGGACCAGCCCAGTGCTCTGAACCCCAAATAAAGCCAGCCCACCAGTTGCCCATCTCCAAAGCCAAGTCCCCATATTATTCTCCTCGCCCATCCAAGAGAACCCCCGACCTATGGCAGTATTTTCAGGGTCCTGGAGGACCAGTGGCTGAGAAACAAGCTCCAGATTGCCAAGGAGTGGACATGGCGGAGAGAGAGGGCAGGGCCGAATAATGCCTTCCTTCCGTCCCTGCAGGCAAGCGGAGGTGGTCAGGCTGAAGCCTGCAAGGGGAGGCCCCTCAGCTCCTTCCTTGCCTGGCCCCAGGGGCGGAGGCTTCCAGCTCTCACTTGGAGCCCTGGGGACCTTTCGTTGCTGCCTCTACAGCAGCTCAGGGCAGAGTGTAACTTCCCTGGGGCAGGGCCAGTGTAAGTGGGGAGAGGAAAGATTCCAGTCTGGGACCCCCCCCCCCCCCCCGTGCCAGAGCAAGAGTAGGGTGTCTGTGCTGGGAGTGGGGGCTGGGCTCCCCTCTGCCTCCTGCCCTGCCTCAGCTCTAGTGCTGAGATCCAGAGCAACAACCCCTGCTCTTCTTGGGGGCTTCGCGGGGAGACAGACCCAGACCCAAAGAAACTACCTCCCATGACCCCCCCGGGCGGCCCACCTCCTTCTCAGGCCCAGACAGAGAGCCACAGCCCCGCAGCTCAGGGCAGCTCAGGGCCCCACAGTCCAGTACAAGCTCTCACCCCAGGTTTGTTTATCCAGTCAGCCATGTGAGTGCCTGGCCAACCCACACAGGCGCCTGCATTCCGGCAGACATAAACCAACCCACCCACCCTGGCAAAGCCCCCATGCAGCCCAGTCCCCGCCACCCCAGTGCCCCTGCAGCCCGTGTCCCGGCCCCACTCACATCGTCCCATTTGATGAAGCGCTCGCCTTGGCTCAGATAGGCCTTCACCTTGGGGGGCAGCAGGACAGGGTTGAGCAGAGACATGGCGCCAAATGTCCCTCTTTGGTGAGGCTTGAGCAGGCACGGAGGCCAGGAAGAGGGAAGGAAGGAGGGGACTGGAGCTGGTGCGGAAGTCTGGGGTGCTCTTATAGTCCGCAGGATGGCACGGCTGGGTGCAGGGCTGAAAGCTTCGGCCAGAAACCTATCTGCCTTGTAAATCAGCCTCCTCCCGCCCTGGCTACAGTGGGGGCCGTCGTGGATGCTCCTGCCCAGTGAGTCCCGGCTCCCCTCCTGAAGCCCCCGCCCTCGCCCCTGCTTCTGTACTTCCTGCTCAGGGCTTCCTTCTCTGTGCTGTGCAGAGCTGAGACGCAGGTCATGAGGCCTGGTCGTCTCAGACCTGGGCCTCTGGGCTCCAGGGATAGGCCCTGGTGGGATGCAGGGGGAGGGAGTGCCGGAGAAGGACAATATGGGAACCAGCCGGGAAGAGGCCTCCACAGGGGCGGGGTCTGTCTAGAGGCTATGAGGGACTGGGACCACCCTGGAGGTAGGAGTTGAGGGTGGAGACCAGGCCCAGCTGGGGTTGAGTGCTTTGAATAAGCAAAGTTTGCTGGACTCCCAGCTCCTCTTTCTCAATGCTTCCTCCCCATGAAAATAAGGTACAAGTGGAGTAATCACCCCTCACCTGCCACACGTGACTCCCTCCTCTTGGCCCGCTGGGCCTGGCCTAGGCCTGGGACCTCCACTGACCAGCCACCACCCCACACAGCCCTACTGCAAGCAACCCTTTGCCACCAGGCCCACTGGGCTCTCCTCCCAGGCCCCCTCCCTCTGCTCTGTACCAAGGGGTATGAGGTGAGAACACTTGGGGCAGGATGGCCCCTCAGGGAGGCCTCTGCTGGGTGCGGATAGCCCTAACACCGCCCCTGGTCCCAGCCCACTTCCGCTTGCCTAACCTGCTCCTCTTTATCACACTTCTTAAGCCAGCTGGAGAGGCAGGACTTCCTTCCGGTCTCAGGGCTTGGCTTTCTGCCCGAGGTCCCACGGGCCTCTGTCCCATCCCATGCTGTGTGAGCATCACCCGGGCCCTCGAACTGCCTCTGCTGGTCAATCTGGGCCTGGGCAGGACGGGGATAGAGAGGAGAATACACTCAGTAAACCAGCCAGTGGCCTGGAGCTAAGGGGTCTGCTAGCACAAAACCAACCCAAGGAAAGCGACCCAAGACCAGAGGGGTGGAGCTTAGAGTAAGGCCCGAGCTTCAGGAACCCCACTCGGGAACTCCCCCAGGTGTCTAGGCCCCCTGCCCTCAGGACTCAACCCCTTCCGTCCCCTGGGCCCCTCCCCATCTCTACTCTTTGCCCCCCTCCAGCCTTGGTTCCCTCCCTGAGATCAAGTTCCCTCTCTGTCTGTTTGAACGGGTTTTGCAAGGGAAATCCCTGCCCCTTCCCAAATCCCTGCACCTGTCACCTGCAGCCCATCCATGCCTGCACCCAAACCCCTCCCTCCTGCCTGCCCTGAAGCCATCAGCCCCCTCTCCACTAGGGACCTGGAAAGGCAATCCTCTCCCCCTTCCTCAGCCTGGAGATGGGGAAGGGACATGCTCTCTCCTCTTTTCAGGGGTTTGAGATGCCACAGGGAAGGTGGGCTTGCAAGATTCCTCACTCTGGTCCTTTCAATCTGTGGCTGTCCAGCAAGGCTGCAGCTCTGAATCCCACAGAATAAAGCCTTGCCCATCGTTACCCAGCAATCACACAGCCTGGACCGGGGTCTTGAGACCTCACTGTGGCTTCAAAGGGGGCCTGTACTCTCCCGCCCACATCCCGCAGAGCCAGCCCTAAGAACGCAAGAAATTCAGGCAGCATGGGGAGCTGGAGAGCTGGTGCATCAAGGAGGGTTCTTTTCCTTTTAAAAATACATTTTTTGTTTTTTTAAATGCGAGTTGACAAAGAAAAATATTATCTAAATAATAGTCTTATGGATATGGAGGAAATCATGGCGGTCCCATGAATATCCCACTTGGGCTTCTGGGTTGAGCTGGGTAGAGGGCACCCCAGGCTGCCTGCCAATCACCCCCCACCACCACCATGACACGCAGTGGAAGGGCGAGGATGCCCCCTGCTGGGCGCGCTGGAGAGCACTTGCCTCCTGGGGAAAGTCTGGGGGACTCAGGGAAAGCCAACTCCAAGGGAAGTTTCGGGAAGGTCTATATCACTTGTGATCCGTGGAGATATTTATACTGGAGAGTTTGGCATGTGTGACCTTTAGGTCATAGAAGGTAGTAAGAAATTATATTTGACCCAGAGCTGCCTTCTAGGGAGATGCTTGTGGCCTGGGGCCCAGAAGGCCGCTCCCAAGTTCACTTGCTCATCAGTAGTTGCGTGTGGGGACACTATGCTTTGGTTTCCCAGCCCATTCACTGGAGAAATTAGTAGCAGAAGTTGAACTCAGATCTTCCAATGATGCAGTTACCAGCCAAACAAAGGAGTCAGATTAGCTGGGTTTCTTACCTGATGCCATGCCTTACTTGACGGAGCAGCAGGGTTCAGGAGCCCGAAGGCCCGGTGTGTGTCTTGGGCCAATGACTAGCTAATCTTTGGGGTGAAGATGGCTCAGCTGGTATATATCCTCTGGGCTCTACTTCCCAGTCTGGCACAGGGAGCCACATTCTACTCTACGCACCCAGCCACTCACTAGCTGGCTTATCTTGTGATACTTAACCTTTCTGTGCCTCAATTTTCTCATCTGTAGAATGGGGATAATAATGCCTCACGGGGATGTTGTAAGGATTAACTAATATAATGGATATGTAAAGTACTTAATACAATGCTTGCACACGAGCTCAATAGCAACTGTAATGATAATCGTTATATTAATAACAATTGTGATTACTAATTATTATAATTTATATGGTATTTATAATAATACTACATAAAAATTATTGTAGTAATAATTTTTATTTTCAGACACTGGCAGGAGAAATGCAGTGTTTTCTAATTGCTTCCTCAGCAGTATAGATGCTGTTCCTTCCACCATATGTGTCTTTCCTGAGGGCTCTTGGGATTGTTTTGTTGGTTTTTTCTGCAGCAGTTTGTGTAGATCAGGGGCTGGACCAACCTTCCCAGGGCAGGCTGAATTCAGGGTGCTCCTGGCTGTGGACTTGAAGCAGGCTGTCACCCACGTGGCCTGAACTCACGAAGTCATGAGTTTAGGGGCTGAAACTACTTACCAGCGTCAGCCTCCCACCACCTCGGCTTGACCACCGCAGCTCCCACGGCTGATGAGGCGGGTCTGAGAGGGAGGACCAGGAGCTTGTCACTCTGTCCAGCTGTACATACAGCTGTGGCTCCAGACCTAACCATGCTCTGCACACTAGGGCTGAACGTAAGTGCAGGCAAAAACAAGACAGGGTAGCAGGTGCTGAGATTTGAGTCCCTTGGGTAGGAGAAGAGAAGTAATAAAGAGTTTCTTGTAGAAGCCCAGGAGAAAGACAGTGCTTATCCTACCAACCCAGACCCTTCTAGAACCGCAGAAGGAACCATCTGGGACTTAGAAGTGGAAAAGACTCAGCCTCGTGTATGTTTCCCTTTGAAGTGCCCTTCTGGATCAAACTTACCTGGCAGTGTAGTTGAGTAAGCACTGGATTTATCCTCAAGAAACTCAGATTTTAGTCCCAACTGGAGCGCAAGTTTGCTATGTTATCTTGGCACGCTACCTGAGCTCTCTGATGTGTTAAGCATTTGATCATTTCTAAGATTCCTTCCAACGCTAAAAATCTCTCTCTTTCCAATCAAAAGGGCCAGGCTTGTCACGTTAATCCCCCACTTATCCTCTGAGAGATGAGAGCTATAGATGGCAGGAAAGGTGTGGCTCCTACCCCAGCAGGGTGCTCTTGAGCACATTGCTCATCTTCTCTGCCTCAGTCTATCCATCTGTGCAATAGACCAGTTTTCCTAAGTGTGATGGAAATGAGTTAGATAATGCCCTTCTCTGGTGGCCGAGGTGCATTGCACGTAGGGAAGGCCTTCCGTCTCGACTGATTGTTTCTGTTCTTACCCCTCCCTGGTCCACCTTTTTATCAGGACCTGGGCAAAGGCCTTCAACTTTGTGAGCAGCGGGACTAGCCAATGAGGACAGGAAATATGCTGGGAGACAGACAGGGCATCCAAAAGCAGCCTGACCCACTGGAGCAAGGCCTGAACCCCACAAGAAAAATGAACACGGCTTCCCTGCGAGCTCCCGGCTTGACTCCAAGGCACCAACTGTGCAAGGACAAAGGGTGGAAGTGGCGGCTGAGCAGAAGCTTGTGGGAATAAAACAGGGTTTTCGCTGACAGCCAGCTCCATATGAGTCAAATGACAAGGCTGCCAAAAAGCGGACGGGCTCTCAGGCTGCCGAATTGAAGTCAGTACCGAGTCCAGTGATCCTCCACCTTGGCGTCACGTCAGAAGGGAATGTTGCATATCCCCGGCTGCACTCAGGCCCTCAGAATCAGGATCTGGGCTGGGCCGACGGGGAGGGAGGAAGGAAAGGCAGCCGTCTGGATTTCTAAAGTGCTTCACCCGTGGTTCCAGGGCCCCAGGGCCATTCTCAGCACCTGAAGTACTCAGGGAGCACTCACAGGGAAATGCACAAGCTGGAGGTCATCTGGGGGAGAGGGGCCAGGAGGCAAACGGTTAAGCATTCAGCTACTAACCAAAAAGTTGGTGGCTCGAACCCAGCCAGAGGCACCTCAGACGAAAGGCCTGGTGATCTGCTTCTGAAAGGTCACAGACGTGAAAACCCTATGGAACACAGTTCTACTCTCCAACACTCAGGGTGGCCATGAGTCGGAATCAACTCAACAATCACTGGCTTAGTGGTTTGTCTGGGGATTTTGTTTCTTTTTTTTGGCCGGGGTGTAGGATGCATGCAACACCCCATGAGGGCCAGTGGAGGGAGCCACAGCGTAGAAGATACTGGTGGTGAGGAGGTCCACCTTCAGATGGACGAGACTTGTTCTCTGGGGTCCCAAAGGTTAGAATCTGGGCCTGTTCCTAGGGTGACTGTCTTAGGTCGCGTTCCTCCAGAAACATCCTGAGATAGAAATTTGCATGCAGGAAGTTTTAGGGGTGCTCTCTGAAATAACACGTCTGAGAGAATGAAGGAATCAGGATTGAGAAGAGGAAGACGTTGATCAGTGATACAGTCACAGCAAAAGCCTTCTCTGCAGGGAGCTCTGAGGTTGGGATGACCCTGCAGAGTTGGCCCCAACTGAGACAAGAGAGCTGGGCCTTTG